AAAAAAAAAAAAAAAAAGAATTGAAGTTCTGGCTGGGTGTGGTAGCTCACACCTGTAATCCCAGCTCTTTGAAAGGTGAGGCAAGAGGATTGCTTAAACCCAGGAGTTAAAACCAGCCTGGGAAACATAATAAGACTCTGTCTCTACAAAAAATTAGCTAGGCATGGTGGTGCACACCTGTATTCCCAGCTACTTGGGAGGCTGAGGCAGGAGGATCGCTCAGGCCCAAAGAATTCAAGATTGCAGTGAGGGATATAATTGCACCACTGCACTCCAGCCTGAGCAAAGGAGTGACACTTTACAAAGAAAGGAATTTGAATTCTGAGACTCACCATCTGTTCCCAAACCCCTAATGCTGCCAACTATACAGCTGTGCCTTCATTAAAGGTATGTGCCAAGGCACGTTTGGCCTTGGGATGAACATGTAGGAATTAGGTAGAGCTCTGGTTCAGCCTTCCCGGAGGGACCTAAGCAGGACAGAAAGCTAGGCAGAATAGGACTTCTCTCTGTGGGATAACATCCAGAAGGATGTTAAGGGGAGCGATATGACTGAAGTCACCAGGGGTTGGAGAAAATAGAGACTGGCCCATGTCTTCACTGCAGTAACATTGAACTTTTCTCAAAAAAGGAGAATGCTGGGCAGCACCTGTGGACCAGTGGGGAGGGAGGGCGCCAGCCCTATATACTGAGGGTGGCGGGTTCGAACCAGCCCTGGACAAAGTACAACAACAAAAAAAATAACTGGGCATTCTGGCGGGCGCTTGTAGTCCCAGCTGCTCAGGAGGCTGAGGCAAGAGAATCACTTAAGTCCAGGAGTTAGAGGTTGCTGTGAGCTGTGACGCCACAGCACTCTACCAAGGGTGACATAGTGAGACTCTGTTTCTTTAAAAAAAAAAGAGAGAGAATGCTTTTTTTTTTTTTTTGAGACAACAGTCTCACTCTATTGCCCAGGCTAGAGTGAGTGACTCCTTCCTATGGAGTAGGAGGAAAGCCTAGTGGCATCAGCCTAGCTCACAACAACCTCACACTCCTGGGTTTAAGCAATCCTCCTGCTTCAGCCTCCAAAATATCTGGGACTACAGGC